CTTTTTGAAACTCCGTCTACTCCCTCCTGGTTTTCCTTCCAATCCTCATTCCTCCCTTCATCAGCTCCTCTCCCTCCATCTGTCATTTAAATACTGTGTGTCCCAGTATCCTGTCCTTGGCTGTCTTCTTCCCTTCTACTACTCTCTTCGAGGACTCTCTTCCACATTCGTGATTTTAACCATTGCCCACCTTCCCTCTCTTTATCCCATACCTCTACTCTGTGCTCTAGACTCATATACTCAATATCATTTTCATCTGAATTTTTCAAGATATTTGTATTAGTTATCTATTTTTGTATAACAACTTGCCCGAAAACTTCGTGGTTTATAAAAACAAACATTTATTCTGAGAATCAGGAATCTGGGAAAGACTTAGCTGGGTGGTTCTGGCTCAAATGTCTCATGAAGTTGCAGTGGAGATGTTGACCTGGGCCACAGTCATCTGGAGGTTTGACTGGGGCTGAAGGATCTGCTTCCAAACTTGCTCATTCACATGGCTATTGGGTGGAGGCCTCAGTTCTTCTCTGGATGTTGGCAGAGGGCCTCAATCCCTTGCCATGTGGACCTCTCCATAGAGGTGTTCCCATGTCCTCCAGAGGGAGCAATTCAAGAGAGAGCAAGGAGGAAGGCGCAATGCCTTTTATGACATTGCTTCTGCTATATTCTATTGGTCACATAGACCAACCCTGATACAATGTGCCAATACATTACCTGCTGCCAATCCATTCACACTGTTTCTAGAATGACATTTACACAATTAAAACTCTTCAAAAGCTTTCTGTTATCTTCAGGGCAAAAACCAAGCTCCGTAGCACAGCCTACAAAGCCCCTGGTGACCCGGCTGGTAGCTAGAGCTCTCATCATGCCCATCTTTGAATACTTCGTTCTAGCCAAGATGTACCATTTGTAGTTCCCAGAAGGTATCAGGATAGTTCACATCTCTGAGCCTTTTAATATGCTGCTCCCTCTTTTTGGAATATCTCCTTCCATATTTCAGCCAGGTTAACTCTGATTCATTCTTCAAAACTCAGCAACTTGAGAGCAGGAATCGTGTCTTGTCATCTCTGTACACCACCTACACATGGTACCCACCACAGAGGAGTTGTTCAACAAATGTTTACTGAATGAATAAATGAGTGAGCAGGCAGGGGCCACCCAGTGGCGTAGTGGTTAATTTCGCTTGTTGCACTTCGGCGGCCTGGAGTGCGCCGGTTCAGATCCTGGACGTGGGCCTACTCACCGCTCATCAAGCCATGCTGAGGCAGCATCCCATATAGAAGAGCTACAACTCTACAACTGTGGTACACATCTATGTACTGGGGCTTTGGGGAGAAGAAAGAAAAAAGAGGAAGATTGGCAACTTCTTAGTGCCCAGCCAATCTTCCTCAAAAAAAAAAAAAAAAAACAGTGAGCAGGCAGTTCCTGTGTGCCTGGTACACCCGTGGCATGCTTGCTATACAGGGAACAGCTGGGCCAATCCAGGTCACTTTTCCCCCTTGGACTGCCTTTCCTGCCCAACCATCTCCCTTTGCCTCAATGACACAGCTGGAAAAGCAAATTCTGAATTCTATCCCACCTCATTCCCTACTAGCTCTGTGACCTTGGGAAAGTCATTTATTGCCTCTGAGTCTCTAGTTTTCATCTACACTAAGGGTTAATAAAAAGGAGAGGATAAGATGGATTGCTTAAATTAATATTTATTGAGCCAAATACCATGTTAGGCACTCTTAAATAAATTAGTTTGAGTGATAGTCACAATATCCCAGGGAGACAGATTTTATACTCTTTCTACGGAAGAGGAAACTACAGCTCAGAGTAGTTAGGTAGGTAACTTGGCCAAGGTCACACCGCTGGAAGCACATTTGGGGTAAGTGATTATATCACAGGCAACATTAGGGAAAACAATGGAGCATGTAGGTCTTTTCCAACCCTAAATGACTGAGATTCTTATTTTAACAGTCTTTTCCAGCCTCAGATTTCAAGGATAGAGCCTCTTCCATCTCCTATCAGACCATCATCTTGTGAGCTCTAGGTCCAAGGCCCCAGAGTTTCCCCCAGTTTTCTCCTACAGATTATGACAATGATCTCCAGCATTCCTTCTGCACCTTTATTATAAAGCATTTTTATACCTGTCATATCTTGCTAGATAAATGGGAAGGAGTGAGTCTTCCCATTTTATAGGTGAGAAAATTGAGGTTCGAAGTGACTCACCTAAAGTCATATGGTATCACTCATCAATGGGAGGACAAGAGTCCCCGTCAGAGGTTGACATGCCCATGGAGCCAAGTGGACATGTTTTTCAGATTGACTGGGAAGCAGAAGAGTGGCACTGTGGAAAGAGAACGATAGGTGTATCAGATAGACCTGGGTTTTGATCCGAGCTCTTCTGCTTGCAAAACTACCATAGTTAAAGGGAAAAAAAAAGTACCATAGTTCAGAAAGAGTGGGTCTGTTTTAGGAGCTAATCTTCTAGTCTGGGCAGAACAGAGAGATTAGGAGCTCCTTGACGGCAGAAACTTATTTTACCTTTATATCCCTGATCAATAGTGCGGTTCCGTGGACAGCTGGTACTTAAATGTCTGTTGACTTGAATAGGGGATTTAGAAGGAAGGAGGCAGTGGAGGGAACTTGAGAGAGTTTAGAATCGAGAATCCAAAGGGGAGACAGTCTAGAAGAGTGGGCCCAAGAAAGAGACTCAAGGCATTTGTGGCTCTGGTTCCCTTACTCCAAGCCATGAGGAAATCTTGCAGAGGAACAGGGTGCTGTGGCTTTAAATGACTTCAGCGTTGTCAATGAATCTGCTCTGCTAAAAGAGTTATCCTCTTGCTCCTGTGCTCGGCCTCCCCCTCCTCTCAGCTCCCCAAACCCTTCTCAGCCGCTGTGATGGGATAATTAGATGCGAGAGCTCAGCACAGATGATGCTCCAGTTGCTTAGCAACTAATGGTTTCCATGGAGACCGCAAAGCACAGCCTCCAGAGCAGCCACTGAGCAGCTCGGCAGGGCAGGGAGGGAGAAGACGCAACTCTTAGCTCCTCCAGAAACCTGGGGAGGGCCAAGGGTGGGGAAGGGGGGGCATTGGAGGGAGAAGGGAGGGCTTAAAGGCACAGGGCCCTCTTATCCCTTTAAAATCTGGTCAGAGCTCTGCCTTCCCCTACTCCGCTCTGTCCCACTCAAATTTCAAACGGGATTGGGGGCTTAGGTGTGGACCCAACACAATCCGCCCTGTAATAAACCTAACCTCTTCTCCTTTCTGCTTTCTGATTTGTGACTGAAATGGGAAGACATACCTCCCAAGCCCAAGTGTAAACATCCTCTGGGTTAGTGATGGAATTTGAAGAGCACCAGGAAGATCCCCTCACCCCTGGAATTCCACCATTTAATCTGCTCCCTCTCTCCAAAGTTCTCCTCAATGTGAAAAAGATTCTCTTTCAGTTTGTAGAATGATGGTAGGATCTGATCTAAAAGGGGACAAAAGCCAAGGGACAGGAAAGACAGAATTCAATTCTTCACCCAAAGGCAGCCTGTCCTGGGAGACTGGGGAAACACCTGTCCCTGGTCTCCAGCAAAGAGAAGCCAGTGGGGGGCGGGGGGGGGAGAACATCTGGCAACTCAAAGTGTGGGCCTCTCCGACTAGCATCAATCAACATTACCTGGAAGCTCATTAGAAATGCAGAATTTCAGGCTTCACCTCAGACCCACTGAATCAGAAACCACAACTTAACCAGATCCCTGATGATTCATATGCACATTAAATTTGGAGAAGCACTGGTCTGAGACCCTCCTACTCTCTGCTTGGCTCCATGAGTTCCATCTTTACTCTCACCTCCTGCTCGCACCCCAGGCTTTGAGCCTACCCTTCCCACCATGGGGGTAAGGACATGACCCCACTAGCCCCTCACTTCCCTACCAGGACCCTGGACCTTCTCTGGGACTGGGGAAGATAGAATGATTCATGGAGCAAAAGACATATGTGACATTCTATGGGGCCCTCAGGCCCCTGTAGAGGTTATGACCTCCCTTGACAAGGCGTTTCACTTTCCACAAGTGACTCTACCTCTCAGAGTCTCAGTTTCCATATCTATAAAAGGGAGCCAATAATATCTGCCACCTAGGACGGCTGTAAGAAGTATGTAAGAGCCTGTGAAGCCCCTGCCCAGAGCCCGGGGGAGGTGCTTTCTCCTCATCTCTCCGCTCTGGTTCACAGCATCTCCTCTACTTGGGTCTGACTGAGCACAGGGGTGAGGATGCAGTCAGAGAGCTTGTGTCTCTTTTTCATTTTCTCCTACCAGGTGTCTTTCTATTCTTTATTCTCAAACAGTTCAGTGGCTGCTGACCAAGGCTGACTGCCCAATCCCCAACCCCTGGACAGGGTCAGTGCCCACCTCTCTGGTCTCTCCAGAAGTCTTTCCTGGCATCCCTTGGCCCCACTCTCCAGAAGAATCCAAATCCCTATAGACTCCCTGGCACAACTCCCTTCTGCCTCTCCCACAGCAGCATTACCTGGGCCTCAGTGGACGCCAAGAATTGGAACCACTGACTCTGCTGCCCCCGCCCCCTACTACCCGTGTCAGTTTGTCTCCCATTCTTGCCCAGCCCCTCAGGGTCTCTCCTCTTCCTACACACCAGGGCAACCTCAGAACTTGCTGCCCTCCTGGGAAGACCTCCACCAGCTGGGGGGAGCCATCCTCTATGGGCTGGGCTCCAGATGCACGACGTGCAGGCAGGACCACTCCTGCCCTTGCACGTGGAAGTCCCAGAAGAAGGGGGGATTTTCACCCCCCACCTTAGTTACCCTGACCCTCTGCAGCTGACTAAGCCACTAAGATCCAGCCAGAGCATCCCTGTCCTGGCCTGAGGCCAGTTCTCCATCCTGAAAAACCTGTCTAGGGGCCACCCCTAAGGCTATAGGGCCCGAGGGGCAGGTTGGACAGGATTCCCCTCCGGTCCCTCCCACCCTCAGGACAAAACCAGCCACCCCACGAGCAGAGCCTCACTTGCCTCAGGAAGCCACATCCTGCTATCATCTGTTCCTGCTCCCAGCCCAGCTATGGCAGCCCCGCTGCCCATCCGGACCTTGCCCTTGATCCTGGTTCTGCTGGCTCTCCTGGCCCCAGGAGCTGCAGGTCTCTGCCATTTCTGGCAAGGGTGGGTAAGGGCTCGGGGGCCTGGAAAGGAGGCACTGTGTCTTCCAGGGCTCTGAAAGAGGACCTGGTCTGGCCAGTTGGGGGGTTGGGGGACAGGTGATAACAGTGACCAGGCATCAGTCACTGAGCCCAGGGCACACTCCTGGTCCTCTCCCAGACCCAGGAGGCAGAGAGGTGTGGGGAAGGTCCCAAAGCTGCAGGTAGGGATGCGGTTGGGCTCTGCCCCCTTTTGGCACCCAGGGTCTGGCGGCTTGGTGGAGTATCTGGCTTCTGCAGCCCAAGCCTGCCACCTGGTGGTCAGATCGGCAAAGTCCTGTTTTCTGCCAACGGACTACAGAGGGGAAGGGGAGAAGGACTCTGCATCCTTAGAAATGGCCCCTGGGGGCTGGGCCAGATCTGACCGCAGGAGGGGGATTGATCCTTCTCTGTACTCCCTCCTGGCCCCACAGCAGACTTCAACATCTCAAGCATCTCTGGTCTACTGTCCCCGGCGCTAACAGAGAGCCTGCTAGTTGCCTTGCCCCCCTGTCACCTCACAGGGGGCAACGCCACACTGATGGTCCGGAGAGCTAATGACAGCAAAGGTCTGCAACCCACTCCCAAGTCATCCCCCAATCCCCAGAGACCCCTTCCCAGGACACCTCCAACTTCCCTTCTCCCATGCATGCCTTCCTATCCACCCTTTCCTGGGCTGTCCACACTCTAAATGCTGCCCTTTCTCCTTGAGGCTTCCAGAAACTGAACCCTGCCTTTTATCCCCAATTTCCTGCCCAGTGGTGAAATCTAGCTTTGTGGTGCCTCCATGCCGTGGGCGCAGGGAGCTGGTGAATGTGGTGGACAGTGGGGCTGGCTTCACGGTCACCCGGCTCAGTGCATACCAGGTGACAAACCTGGTGCCAGGAACCAAATACTAGTAGGTACCAGATCCAGGCCCGGGGCCCCCACGGGAGCGAGGACAGGAAGAGAAGCTGGGTCCTGACCTTTGGTGGTGGTGGGATGTGGTTAGCAGGGTGGAGAAAGGAGGGCACAGCTACAGGGGTCAAGGATGGGCCTCCTGGAGGAGGGCACAATGGGAGGCACAGCTGCCAAGGGGGAGGCCTGGGCGCCCTCTTCTCCCAAGGCCCAGATACTCACTGAGGATTCTCTCCTCCCTTTCTCCCAAACCCCACCTCAAAAGCATTTCCTACCTAGTGACAAAGGGGGCATCCACTGAGTCCAGCAGAGAGATCCCAATGTCCACACTCCCTCGTAAGTAACATCTCAGGGCCCCTGAAACCTTCCTTGGCCCCTCCCCCCCATCCCCCAGCTGCCCCCCAGCTCTTTGCTGACCTCTCTCCTAGCGCTTTAACTGCCTGTTGACTCATCTGCCCGCACTGCTAAACTAAAGGTTGTTTGTGGGCAAGGAGAGTGTCCGATTAATTTCTGTATCCTCGGGGAGTGATGTAGGAGATGCTTCATAAATGTTTATTGGATGGATGTTTGGATCCCTCGGATGATGCGTTGGTTGGATGGATGAATAAATGGATGAAGGGTTGGCTGGTTGGATGGCTGGACGAGGGGCTAGGCTGAGAGCCTTGGGCAGGATAGGGGCCCCTCATGCCCACAAAGCCCTCCCCCTCTCTCTTCTGACAGGAAGGAAGATGGAATCCATTGGGCTGGAAATGGCCCGGACAGGGGGCATGGTGGTCATCACAGTGCTGCTCTCTGTTGCCATGTTCCTGCTGGTCGTGGGCTTCATCATCGCCCTGGCACTGGGTGCCCGAAAGTGAGGAGGTCTGCACCGGGCAGTGGGCTCCTCCAGGAAGTCTAGGGCACTGTCCATGTCCCCGGCCCACGGCTTCACCTTTTGCTCCTGCCTCCTCTCCTGAAAAGACTGTCTGCTCCCAGGCCTCAGTCACCGGGCTTTGGCTCCTTCGGTGCCTTCACGTCCTCTCCCTGCCTGCTCTCCCCTGAAGCCCTTTCCGCCCTCTGTCTCTCTCTTTGTCCCCTAACCCTCCCCTTCCCCCAACACTCTCTGTTATTCCCTTCACCCACTCCTGTCAGAACTGATTCTCCTCCCATTTCACCTCTTTAACCACCCGCCCCCAACAACAATTCAGCCCTCCCTCGGTGAACTAAGTCCCTACAATAAAGTCTGATGCCGTGTTGCTGTGTGTGTTTCGCTTCAGTGGGCTCCACTGTGGCGTGGACCTATAGAGTCTATGTCCAGGCTGCAGGTCCCTTCTCTGCCCCAGAACCCTAGACTTGCTTTTCCCAGGAGGCAGGAAGGGGCCGGATGAGATAAGAACCCAGGAGTCAGAGTTCTCAGACACCTGGGCTGTGGGTTTTGCACCGTCCACAGCAGGCCGCCGGGGGG